TTGTAGATTCTATTTTATAACTGGGTCGTGTAGTCTCCTCAATAATTCTTTACCTTGATACGACACATACTCATTTATCTGGATTAAAATACTTTCTTGCTCTGAATGTTCTAAAAGTGTACCCCTTGGGGTTCTAGAATTTAGAAGCCCCCCTTTCCCCTGACTATTCCTAGTGTACCTCAGTTGAATTAATATGAAGCCTTTGGCAATACAATTTCCATGTTACTATAAAAATGGGGTCAAAAGTCATAACAGACACAAGAAACAGGAGGCAATTAGTATTAGGTACTTCTAGTCACACCCTGGGCCATGTGCTCAGGCCACATGCTGCATGCACCCCTCCAGAGTGAGCTGGGGAACACATGAGATAAGGCCACATAGAGGATTAATTTATCTGAAGGTGGTGGGCAAGCCCTCTGCCACCAATGCAAAAATCTTTTCATAAGAACCCAAAGCAATTGATTCTCTTCAATACTAAATTGAATCTTTTTCCTTCTTTGTGTCTTTCTTTCCTCTTCCTCTCCCTTCTTTCTTATGTTTTCCTCCATAATCCTTGGCCCCCTTCTAAGATCTTTACCCCAAAGGTATAAGTGCCTAGAAAGAAAAACAAGATCTATGTGTTGCAATACTAACAAGTAATACTATAATTGGTAGAAAAACCAGTTTGATGTAAGATATGAAATTCTCAAAAGTAGCTACCTGTATGAAAATGTCTCCTTCTAGAGAGCATGGGAATGGATATATTTTCTGTATCATGACAACAGATGTTTATATACAGCCACCTCAAGCAAAGAAACAAAATGCCATAGTAAAGACAACACATATATCACATGAGTACATAAGTAGGAAAACTAGCCAATGACTTTGGGAACATTTATTGGATTTTTTTTCCCCTTTAGCATATAGAGAAAATAGAGATGGCAGGGAGGTAGCTAAGTAAGATGACAGGATGGCAGACAGAATTCCTATCAGGACAGAAAGAATTTATTAGGGAGCTGCCACATGTAGCATAATACAGTTAAGTTCAGAATTACAGACAGAATGGGGGGACAGGCAATATTTCAACAACTATTGTCCTTAAACATTCTCTTAATGCTAAGTCACTCTTCCTTTCTTTTTTGTCTTGCTTTCCCTTGCTTCCTAGAGTTAAGAAAAGTTCTTTCCTAACTTGGGCTGCTATGCAAAAGATGTGAAATTTCATTGGCTCCAAATGCTTTTTCTGTCTAGTAGGGACTACTGGGAACCCTGCTAATGTGCATATTGATGTACCCTGTAGCTTCAGAGATGATGAAAGAGCATATTACTTATTTCCACAACAACAAAGCTAAGAGAAATTTGAAAGCAGCCAGTTATTTTACCTGGGGACTTCCTCCCAGGTGGCAGGGCTATAGAGCTGTGGAATTCAAATATTGGGGCAGTCCTATTTTCTGTTAAGTTTTTATGGGGAGCCACAATACCATTCCTAACCAAAAATAAAATAAAAGACTGTTGCTTTTATCTGCATTTATTTAGTCAACTATGTCTAAAATACAGAAAAGACATTATTATGCTCATTCAGAGTGTATTTTATTCGTTGTTTACTAGGCTGGACTGACATGATATGATTTGTGCTTTGTGGGGTCACAACAAGCTACTAGCAGGACAATTTGCTGAATCAAGAGGATGATTGTGTCTGGTGCCAGTCGGTCGCAATTAGGCCCAGGATCAGGGAGGCCCAGGGCTTGTGCATCGTCTTGGGCAAGCTGCATAGAAATCAGCTCACCTGAAACTAATTGTCACAACAGAGACCTTATGCAAATGAGCCCTGGGGTTAGCGTGGGAAAAGAAAAACTGTCGCAAAGATAGGTGACCTGCTGAGCAGGGGGTCTGTTGCTGGGGAAATCTTTGTTCAATGAGTTTAAAAATGTTTTCATTGTTCAAAATCCAAAAAAAAAAAAAAATAGTAGCATACACACTTACTAAAAGTGTGGCAAACACACTCATCTAAAATTCCAATAAAGTAGAAGCCTGCTTTGGAGCATGCAATAAATTGGGAGTCTTTACACTTTATAAGGGCTACAGCAGGAAAATAATTTCCCTTTGCAAGGGCCTTTAAAGTTTAGGTGCTGAGGATTGCAGAGTGGCCTACCTTGAAAATTCACTTGCAAGGTCAGGCCTACTGCTAGCCTGGGAGGACTTGCATCACCTTTTCTCCCCGCATTCCAGCGGTCCACCTCCACACGTAGCGTAGCCACGAAGGAGGCTTGTGAACTAAACAAGAAAGGCCCACTTTCTAATTGAGCTTTGCTGGTATCTCAGGTGGAAGAGAAGCGCCAAGAGAGTTCCCTACCACATGGCAAAAGAAGCCGGGAAACAATGACCGTTTCTTGAATTGTGGTTTCTCAAATGTTCACACAATCAAATGCAATGCAAGCCCCATGAAATTCGAGGAATGGTTATGCAGTCCAAGTGATAATAGATTACAGAAATTTAGTAAGAAAGATAACAGTAAAAATTATTTTTAAATTATGATTTACTTCCTTTTCAAATCCCTGACAAAAACATTTATAAGTTGGAACTGCTGTCATTTAATCTCTCTATAGCACTTCTTTGAAATAATCTTTAAAAATGTTCAGCTTGAGAAAACTAGGTGAAGAAAAGCTATTCAAGGGTAATAATAAACATTTTGATATATTGTTGGAACAAAGTTGCTGCTTTTGGGTTCTTCAGTTGATTTTTTTACCTTCTTAATCTTGTTTTTCTGAAAAAGCATGGGTTAACATATTGACCCTGCTTAGCTTTTCACTGAAGATTTTTCCAGTGACATATCAAATAATGTACATTTACACAGCAGTATAAATATAAAAACAAGGAAAGGAAGTGGAGTGTTCTAATCTTTTGCAGTAACAGAGAGCATAAATATTTTGTGTCTAATGCTTTCAAAGGAAGAATAATTTGAATTAAAAAATGTAGGTGACAGAAAAAGAAAGAAAGTTGCATTGTATTAGCTTTGAATACAAATGCTATTTTGTTTGCCAAATTACTGGGCCTAAGAAAGTATTTTCACTGTGTTTCCTTAGGGCTGGATTGAAATTTGGACTTGTATATGATAAGCATGCTTGGGAATTAACTTAGTAGCCACCACAAAACCTAAAGAAAGTTAGGCTTAAAAGGAGTGTGACTTAATTATAACTTAAATTAAAAAATAAAAAAACCTCTTTTGTCCCTTCACCACTGTCTGAAATAATTTCCACATATAGGAGACATTTCACAGTGGGTACGAAGTACTCAGCTTTCACTCATCAAACTTTAATCGGAACTGCATTTTAGTTTTTGAATAAAGAACACTTAAAAAATTTAGATGCAAATTATTTTGCATTATTCATGCTCTAAGTGTCCTTGTAGATTTAAACACTTCTGAGGCCACCTTGATTCAAGTAATTACCTAGGCCCTCACTGCTCCGTCATGAATAAGGTATTTTGTACAAGTAAAGTATGCACCCGATGAGCTTTTAAAGTGGCTTTACACTGAACTTGTGTATTGCTTCTTGTGCATGAGTGAGCCGAACATGCGTCGCGATCTGTCTCAGGTGGGAAACCCTGGCTGGGCATCCATGGGTGACGGGATGAAACCTGAGCATCTCCCTTTACACACACACACACACACACAACACACACACACAGACACACACACACACTCCCTTTGTCTCTTCCTAAGAATCTCAAAGTGATTCTCCTGCCTGATTCTAGTAGCTGTTTGAGAATGGAAGAGAGCAATAGATTCTAGGAAGAGAAACAGGGGAACAGTGGCAGTGATCCTGCTTAACCCTTCCATCCCCAGAGTTCATCGAACATGCCCACTTTTCAGACCACGTCGTCTCTATCAGCAAAGGCTTCCGCATAAGGTAGTAAGTCTCTCTGATTTCACTCGGCCCTGTGCATCTGCCTTCCCATCTGTCAGCCTAGCCTCCTGAGCTATTAGAGCTAGGTGCCACCTCCATCACAGTACTCATCACAAAATGGAATTGGCTTCAGACTCAAAAGCAACTGAAGGATGCTTACGATGGAAATGAAAGGGGCCACAGAGCATACATCTATAAGTTTGTTCACACACACAAAAAGAGGGTTTGTAAGAGTTAAGTGTAATTGGCTGAAGCGTATAGCTGGCGTTTGTTACAAAGTGCCCAAGCCTTTCCTTTCCAACTCCTTGGCTTTGAAGAATTATAGGAATTTTATGATGTGCTATTGGAGTTATACTGGCAGAGATTACAGAAAAGGGGTTAAAGTTGGTTTATGGTAGAAAAAAATTATGCAGAAACCAATAAAAATAAACACACTCAAGTAGACTAAACTTGCTGGGCTTTTAGTTTTAGTTTAACAAAGGAAGTTTAGATGAAAGTAAATGTTGCAGCTTTTAGAAAATTAGTTGACACTCATACTTGATCATCTTTACTACACAGCGGTATAATTAATATTTAAACATTCTAATAATGCAGCTTGCTTTGCATGCACTTTTCAGCCTCACAACAGTATATTTTATCTGGAATTGTGCTAGCATTTTCTTGGGTACTGCCCATTTTCATAGAGTTAAATTTAAAATAGGGTAGGGCCTTAGCTGTTATTGCCAGTAAAACATCAATAGGAGAGTGGACAGGTTTCATACATCTACCAGACAGTTTATTATTAAGACTAATATTTATTTGAGATAATAGATAATACATAAATTTTGTTTCATTGCCCCTGTGAATGTTTTAAAATGATCAGAATAGATTAAGTTTGAAAGTTGCATTTGGCTATTGTCCACTCACTGTTCAAAACAGGAGAATTTTGACTATGGAAAGGCACTGTGAAATCAGCAAGCAATACATGAAATGCTGAACCCCAATGCCTACAGGGCATCTGAGGAATTTTTCAGCACATGAACTCACTGAATTTGGGGAGCATCGTCTGAATTGTGAAAGCTGAATACGCAGGAACTTAGTAAAACAATAAAGCTAGTAAAATATAGAGAAGTAAGCTACTTGGGAGAAGACTGAGCTAGTTTATTTTCATATGAGAACTTTCTTCCCGTTCCAGTGTCAGGGCTGTAGGTGGTGGGGAAAAGTTGTTTCAGGTGCTGCCCTCAGCTTGGTCCCTTTGAAGAGTGCAAGGTGACCAGTGTTCTTGATCTTCTAGCTTGAATGGTGAGAAAGAGCATTCTACTTTTCCACTATAACTTGTGTCTTTAACTGAAAGATAATTTGCATGCACATATTTACTGCTCATTCTTTATAAGTGAGTAGGTGTGCTGAGCTGCAAGTCTATTTTGAGACTCAACCCACGTTAACCCCTTGAGGCCCACTTCATGATAGGTACTTCCCGGTGGGAATCCTGTCATTTAGTGAAGCATGAAGCCATAATAGATCCACAGCCCCACCACCGTTGGGACATCTCATTTTTGCTTAATTCTCTGAAGACTTGGAGCTGTGGTGCACACATCAAATGGTGCAAATGAGAACTACAAAATTAGGCAGGTTAGATTTCATGAAAAAAAAAGATAAACAATAGAAAAAATAGTCAATATAAAATATTACTACAAGGAGCAATATGTAAACTAAGTTCCACATGGAAAGAACCACAAGGATGTCATGAAGCAGATGTCAAGAGCCAGTTTGCACTAGCTGTTTTATTTCCTCGTGTCAAAAAGAAGTCATTTTTACAGATTCTTGGACATGATCATTTTTGTTTCTGATATTCAGAAACTGAACCAATAGTTTGGTGTCCTTTTGTTTTATTGGGTTTGTTTTGAGAAAAGGAGTTAAATAAACTTAACCTACAAATAACTAACAGCCCATGGACTATTTAAAACCTGCCATTGAGGTGGAAGAGATAAGTTGAACCAAACTGCTGTCTCATGTATGGGTTTGACAGATAGGTAAGTCCAGAAGTGGACAAATTAAAAGCATTTTTCATATGCTAATCTCCACCTGCACAGGAACAATTTTTTTAAGGAGGCAGCCTACTGGCAGAATAAATTCAAGAGCTATCAGTAGTGCATTACTTTTAGAAATTATAACATGAAGAAATGAATAAATATTTTTATGAGAAAAGTCTGCCATGGAATCTTAATTCCAGATGGGTGTTGTTTCAGCGATGGGCCAGCATTCTTGTGGAAAAAAAAATGACATATATACATACATATGTGTATGAGTGTGTTTATATACATATATAGAGATATATATGGCTTTCTAACTTGAATAATTCCCTCCATATGTAATCGATTCAAAATTATATCTGAGGAATTACTTTTTTAGTTTCAAATAGAGATCAAAGTGAACACAATAGTCTACCCTGCCCTACAGGTGGCAGTTCCATGTGAGCTCCATAGTGCGTATGAGAGCCGGTCAGGATGTCAATCAGAGCCTACAGATTAACCCACAGTAGTGAAATCTGAGAAGGTTTATAACAAGTAGGTAATAGTTTCAAGCCTCTGTGAGAACACATAAACTAAAACTTCATGCTGGGACAAAACAGGGCACGACATTTGAGGTAGAGAGTGAGAAAACCATACTTTTATTATGACAAAGCTTCTCCCATACTTGTTGAAATGCCACTGGCTTCTTATTAAATGCTCACTATTTCTCTAGGTCTTGTATTATTTTACAGAATGCTTTTGGAATTTCCTTTAGTTTTGATAAATATTCAAATTTGTGCATAATTTCTATACTTCAGATTTGAATGATAGAAAATTTCCCACGGTTGTTGAGTTTCCTTTCAAGTAAAAAAGTAATTCTTGTAATAGATAAGAATGTTGCATTTCTTTTCTCCAATATCATGAAGATAGCAAACCCTTACCTTAGTTTATAAATTCAAAATTCACTAACTTAATGAAAATAAGAACCAAGATACTCCAATAGACATCTTAAACATCAAATGAGAATGACCCCAAAGAAATGGCTGCTCATGGTTATCTAATGGAAGATCTTACCTTTTTCTAATAGAAAGTACTCAGGCTCAGGAAACTTATGGTGAGAGTACCTAGGTTAAACTCCTCAGTTATCATATAGTACTCTTTCAAGACCTATGGCTTAAGTTCTAATTAATGATCTCAGTGCTGCTATCATTTATGAATGTACCTTTTTTTCCTAGGAGGTAAGTAGCAGAGACCAGTTTCGGAGACCCTTAGTCTTCTTCATGTGGAAGAAGAAATTAAAATAATAACCTATTTAGACACCAGATGAAATGCTTTGCTTTGGCTTTACCCACCTGGGCAGTGGTATTTTTACTTTTTAAATGGAACTGTAAGTCTGATGCCATGTGACCAGCCTGCTAACACGGAGGGGAAGAGCTGGCATCATTAACATTCTTTGATTGGAGAGCACATTAGGAGGTAGATAAGGGAACAGCACAGGCGACCCACCTCCCTGGTCAGGGGAGGAGTACAGTGCCTGGAATGTCTGCAATGTGTTTCTATTTTTGTCACACCTATGTGTGGTCACCCATCTGGTCTGAATCAATCAGTCTCATCCCAGGGCCCTGCTTCTCTCCCAGCTGAAATAATACCCTCCTGTCCCCAGTGCTCTGTCTTCAGGAGGGGCACTGCTCACAACAGCCCAGGCAAGGCCTGTTAACAAGGCTGTGTGTTTGTGAACACTGGTGAACCATGGTTTAGGCATTGGGGAAATTTTTTTTTTTTAACGTGAGTGTTTTATGGATAAATTCTGCTCACCTAGAAATAGTCCTTGGGAAAACATTCTCTAATGAATTATTTGACCCCAGAAAGTGAAAGAAGGTGGCTATATAACTGTATATACATACATTTTAATTTTTTAGAAAATTTCTTTGCCTTGAATTTAAACCATGAATCGTTCCGCTGGTATGTCTGAAGCAGATAAAAGAAGCCAGGGTCTGAGACATTGACCATGACTTAGCCCAAAGTATTTTCTTAGGCCACTTTCCTCTGCTCCCCGATAGAAGAAATAATGTTCAATTTCTTTACCCCTCTTTAACAACCCTGCCCCTCTGCTTCTAGATCATTTTCCCAGCATTCCTTATGTGCACATCCTGTTCTCTAGCAGTCCCTCATCCATGCGCTTCCAGCCGGTTCCTAACACCTGACAGCCTCTTGCTTGCTATTCCAGCTACTAGACTCCTGACCTCTATTAAAAGAGTCAAAGTATTCGCCAGTTAAACTAGCCACGTTTTAGGCCCACATAGCACTCTTCCCACAAGAGACCTCAAAATGTAATGACATTGGCTTTGGCAAATTCACTAACATGGCATAAAACTGCTCATTTTCCCTATCTGCCCACTTTTCCACTGCAGTGGGAAATACCTCCCTATCGTGGACCTCCCAACCGGGAACCCCATAGTTATTTTTGTTTCACTGCTGTCTTTCTCACTCCCCACATCCAGTCTGTTACCAACCGTTACCACTCTTTCTTTGCCAACATTTCCTGAATCCACCCCTTTCCTTTCCATTCTCATAGTTGTGGTCTCAGTCTAGGCTTTGGTCTTGGCCCACTAGGACTTTGCAGCCTTCTTCCCTCTCTCCCTCCACATTCAAGCATCAAACTCCAGCTTGCTTCCATAACACTGGCAAACTAGTTTTTCCCTGTCTATGTCTTTGGCCGGTCCATTCATTCTCTTTGGGCTTCATTGAGGCTGCCAACTTGCTCTCTGGACTGGGTTCTGATGTTCGCTTTCTATGTCTCACCTTTTTATCCTGCTACCTCCCAATTGTTCCAATCTTCTTTCTTTCCTTTTATAAGTAAGCCCATCTGTTACTTCTTTCTCCAATCATTCTCACATTGCTTCAGAAGCCCTTCTGTGTTACATACGTTCCTGACACATCCGCCTCAATGGCAGATCCTGAAGCTTTCTTTCATCCATCCTTCCTTTCTGATGTAGCTAAGTGTCATAATTGTGAGCATGTCCAGGTTCAAAAACCTCCAGCTCCAGCACTTGATACCAGTGACATCGAGCCATTATCTAGCATCTCTGCACCTCAGTTTCCTCATCTGTGAAATGGATCGTTGAGAAGAATAAAGGAGATAATTTATTTAGAATACTGCTGGTGTTTACATAGTAAACACCATGTAAATATTTGCTATCAGTATTATTGCCATATCTCAAAGGACAACAACCCAATCACATGCCCCTTCAATCACTGTCACACTATGTGCTCTGTTATCCTCGCATGCAAATTTTGATGCCAACACAACTGGGTTTCTTTAATTTGGTTCTAAAAGTAGCTTATATCCTAGAAATCAGGGCAAAGTTAACTGAATAGAACACACCTGGTATCAAACCAGGTAATGAAGAAAATTTTAAATGCTTTTTGAGGGTGATAACAAGGAAGATGATGATAAAGATGATTATGATGATGAAAACATGACTAAGTGCTTCTTTGGGTTAATACTCTTTACTTCTCCAGCTAAGTCTCCGGGAAACATATAGCATTCCTCCTCAAATTAGTTTTTCCCCATTACATGGAAGCATGTTAGCATGAGAAAATATATTGTGCAGTATGCATGAGATTTATTTCTCAGAAAGCAGGGAAATGGTGAGAATTTTAAGTGTTCTACATACTTATTTAGATCTCACATCAGGAGATAAAACAAATGAAAACTCTGACTTGTTAATAATTTACATTTTAGTGGAAAATTTGTACACGCTGTTAAGATACCTCTAAGACCCAACATGGAAAATGCAAATAACTTACATCCACTGTGCACTGAAGACAATTTGTCTGAAAAGAAAACAACATCAATTAAAAAAAAAAAAACAAAAAAATACCCAAATGATTTCAAGGGAATATTGACCATATTTACAGGGCTATAATTATACTTATTAATTTCAGATGACTCCTTTGAAGTATTCATGTAGAGGATCTCTCCATTTATCAGGTGTTTCTTGCAGAAAATCCACTGGGCCTACCTCACCACCTAGGAGGTAGCTTACAAATAGGGGATTTCTTTTCTGCAACCACACCATTACTTTTCTCTAACAGCTTATGCAAAAGTTTTGTGGGGGAGGGAAAAGCTCAAGCCAAAAAAAGAGAGAGAGAAAGAGAGAGAGAGGAGTGTGCATGACAATAACTACCTCTGTCCCTTCAGTTTTTGTTCTTTTCATGTCATGGAACTTTTTAGCTGTGCTGCCTGGGTAACTGCTCTGGAAGGTTGGAATATCTGTTGTTGAAGGAGGTTTGTGATTGAGGGCCCTCTGACACAAGCTTTTGTTGCATTGAGGTGTTTGATCCTCTTTCCCTTTCTTCTAAAACCAATCCCATCCCTTTAAAAAAATGGATAACCAGCACTTCTTTTACTTATTGTCAGCTTTTGGAAAGTTACTGTGGGGGTTTGTAGAAGTTTAACTAGTTAACTCTTTGCATGCTGCGATGTGCTGTCGCTAAATATTCTTCTTTTTGAACAGGAAGGATTTTAATCGCTTTTATCAGGTAACTACTGCTGTTGTGCACGCATAGCAAGTGAGACGTATTAAAGTCCAGATATAAAGTGTTTGTGTTCAAGGTCTTGAAATGTGAGAGTGATTCAGGCTTTGAAATGAGACACATCCTTATCATCTTTTTGTCCTAGAACTGAAACATGTGAGAGGTATGACTCTGCCATTTGAAAAAAATATGACGGTATACTAATTTCTATTTCAAGAACAACAGGCTTTGGTAATAAGTAAATGCAAAGGGTTACTTCGAAACTGGGAGATCTAACTAAATGGCAACAAAGGAAGAGAGCCCTTAGAATGAAAGGTGTAGCGGTCTTGTTCCAGTCTGCTGACTAAATGCTGGAATATTTTTCCCCAAAAGAAGGGCCACAACCCAGGCTGTAGGAAAGAAAAGAAGCTTAAGTGGATTATTTAACAAAAATGCAACTTATGGCTTCTAGATAGCGACCGACATTCTGCACACAATAATGATGTTTTACGGTGGTGATAGGGTTAATAACCTAACATCATTCATGTAGTGTTTTTTGAAAATTGAATTTTACTGCTACAAAGTAAATGTAACAGCCCTCTGGAGACAATATTACAGGCACTTTATTGTTTGCTAAGCTGATGTCATCTTTCTACAGACTGACTTTAAAACAAAGGCAGAACATTTATTACAAATATCACTGTGTGAAAGGAAATCTACTCAAATATTGTTTAGAAGGTGAGCTGATAAAAAAAGTATTAATACTTGGCTTTGATCATCTTATACTGTAAAGTTATGACTTCAAAATGCTTCTCATGTGATCTCTATTCAAGGCAAACTTCATCCTGGAAATTTCTACCCATGTCTCTAACGTTATTTGTCCTCAAGTTGGAATATTTGTTTAAGCTTCATGCATGTTTTAAATACATTTTTACTCCCTAAGGCAATTTCCTAACAAAGTTGATGAGTTTTTGAGAGAGAGAGAGATTAAATAGCACCTTTCAAAGATAATGTATGTATGATTTTAAAAAACAAAGTATGGAGATTAAGCTGTTTAGTTTATATAATGAACTTTCAAAATCACCTGTAAGTGGGGACTGCAAAGTTTGCAATTTAAATAAGCTGTTGAAGGCACTGCCAAGCAAGCATTCTGCACCCCATGTTGCTTACAGCTCTGAGGGTTTGGTCTCTGTATCTGATGCACGTGTAATACAGCGTGAAGTTGTTTGTGGATCACACAAGGAGCTTCTTAGAGCTTCATTTCCAAACTGTAACCCTTGAAAATGTATCAAATGAGCAGACACGTTTGGCTCTTCCTTACAAGGCACAAGTAATTTGTTTGTAAATCAGTTACTTTTCAAGAAAAGTTAAATTAGGGGGAACTCTTGTTTCTTTGATGTTTTCCCACTTAGAAAGCCAAAGAGCAAATTAATGATCATTTTGAAGTAATAATGATAATGAGGAAAATATAATTCAGTGAGCTACACTATCTCAAAATAACTTTTCAGGTACGGCATTTAGAAACTAACAGCCTGAAAGACTGAAGTAGCCTGATGGTGTTTTTCTAAGAAAATGATTTACTGCTCTGCTTTTGTCTCTGAAGTCTGGTTGGAAGGAAAACACAGGTCAAGGAAATTGGGTTAGGAAAAAAAAAAAAAAAAGCCTGTTATGGGGTAGGTGTAGAATTGTATGAATAGTGGCTAATAGGGCGTCTGTAGGCACTCAGGAGACTGGTCAACTATAGTCTCATGAATGTTTGTGAAATGCTCAGTACTGACTGATGGTATTTATATCAGTCAAACATGAATCCAGATATATCTACTTAGCATGCTCTTTGAAGGCAGTGTGTTAGTTGGTGAATGGGCTGTGCCCAAGCTACCAGTACCAGGGTTATGATTCAACCAGGAACTGAACTGTGGTGTTTTAAAAACTTATTTTGCTAATGAGTATACTTCCGTATAGGAAAATTGTGGGTTTGTTTTTTTTTTTTTTGAAGCTTACTGCTATTTGAAACATTTTACTATAAAACCTGCCTTTGATTTGTTTGTCGGGGAAACTATTTTATATTCACTGAATTCCTTAGTGCATTTGACAAATATTAGCTACTTACCTTGTGCCAGCACCAGAGGTCCAAAGGTGAGTCTTCACAAAGCCTCACAGATCAGTGTCAGGAAGAATCATTCGGCAAGGGTCAGAGCCTGACATCTTGTAAGTATTCATGAAATGTTTGTTGAGTGACTGATAGAATGAATTGAGTGATGATCAAGGTAAGTCCTTGATTCTTGATGCAGTGTATGCACAAGGAGGAACTAAGAGTTGAGAGTCCCTCTCTTGAACAGGTCAGCAAAGCTGTAAGAAAGGACATGTTTGAGCAGGCCTTAAAAAGAGCAAGTGAGTGGCATCCACTGTGTGGGTAAGGACAGGAATAGTTCAGTGGTGGTAGAAACAGCACCCCGGAATATGCTGATTTTCAGCAGCACAGCCCAGTTCTGGTTCCTGCACTCCTTAAAGCCACTTTAAGGATTTGGTCTTTGCCCTTCTCTCCCCACTCCCTGTCCTAAGGTCAGTAATAACACACACTCTCCCTCACTCCTCCATTGGAATTCGAGAGCCCACCTCCTCAAGTCAGAACCAGAGCATCTCATTCGCCTCCTAAAAGAAGGGAAACGGCATGCCTGTTCCTCACTTTTATCCATAAAACTCACATTTTAGTTGTCTACCAAAAGAGCTCATTCTTGACCAAGCGCTTTTCTTAAACATCTGACACATAAGATAAAAAGGAAAAGGGAGCAGTTAACATTTAAACCACCCACCAGGTTTGTAATGCAGGGATGTCTCCAACATCAAGATGAAATTGTTTTATCAAATTATTAAAGTTAGTTTTTGTCTTCAACTTAGCGAAAAGTCTTATGGATGGGATGCTCAAAACAGGCCAATTTCGAACAGTTCCAATGGTGTGAGGCCTTGTGTCATCGTCTCCATATATAGAGTCAAGCTTCCCTTCTACTAAAGGCCCTCTGCTTCCCTCCTTTGCTTTCTCTCTGGGCAGGCCTTTCCTCTCCTCCTGTTAGCCACTCTATATAGGCAGGTGTGCCTCTTTTTCCATTTGCCAGATCTCCCTCCCCATCCCCAAATCTTCCAAGCTACTCCCCTTTGAAGTCTCTATTACTGATACAATCACTTTTGTTTCCCTTCCATCCTCTCTCTCCAGCTTCTTTCCTCCCTAACCCCATTAGTTACATCTGCTGCTCCTACCATTCAGCCTGTGTTAGATCTCGTCACTCACCTGACATAACTTCAGTTTGCTCAGTACTCCATCAGCACACACTGCAATCTTCTGATTTGTAGGAGAGGGGGCAAGAGTGAGTAAGCTGGCTCACAATTCTTTAAACGGTTCAGCTCTGCCCAATTAGCACAACTAAAATGGGAAATTGACAACTGATCATCATGGAAGAAATGGGTTTTAGTTAAGAATATAAATCCCACAAACTTGCTTCCTGATGCCTGTGGTAGATACTATATGCTTCATATGGTGGTCAGATGGCTCAGAGAATGCAGAGATGGATGAATGAAGGGAGGTGTGTCAATAATTGCAATATTTATTAGTTGACTGGGGTTCTTTCCCTGGAATTCATTAATGGATTTTTAAAGGAATCTGCAAACCACCAGAAATTGCATATAATGTTTTGTGCATTGATGCATTTTCCTGGGCAGTGGGTCCATACATTTAATCAGATTCTTAAAAGGCTATACTCCACCTCTGCCTCCCGAGTAGGTTAAGAATCACCGCTATAAGTGAAGACACTTATTTGGACTATATTTTTCTGTGGTCTGCTTTTTTCTCCAACCCCCCACCCCCCAGCACAATTTTAACATCCCATGTGATTTGAGCAGTTCAGAAAGTAAGAAACGTAGGGTTTTTAAAGCAGAATTTACCTTATTTAAGAAGAAAAATGTTTAAACCACCTACCAGGTTATACAATTCACTTTTTTTTTTATTATTTTAGTTTTACCACTATTCAGAGACAGGCCTTTTTTTTTTTTTTTTTAACAATGGGTATAATCACACATCTGAACATAAGAATTAGTTTTATGCAGTTCCATAGAAAACCAAAATCTTGAGGAACACTTTCAAAACAACCAGAGAAAAATAAACCATTCCTTATGTCAGTCTTGTTAGAGAGGGATTAAGAAACTGGCAATTATTTTGGCGACCTTAATTGTTGCGCGGCAGGAAAATATGTAATTAGAGCACGTTCCCAGGCCTGCACACCTGCAGCACATCCTACAGTATAATGTCAGCTTTCAGTGCCCGTCGGTGCCAGGTTCTAGCACAACCAGTCACAGTGACGCTCTGAGAACATTTCGGACTCATGTAATGTGGCTTCTGTGTATGAAAGAAGCAGGCATTTACACTATCACACAATGGAGTGCATTGCTGCAACACTGGTTTCATTATTTTCTGACGCCTACCTTCAGCACTGCCCTGGTTTACTCCGTTTGAGGTTTTATTGTTACGGTATAATAGTCCTGTACATTTTTGAAATTCCCTTATTATTCAGCTTATTAATACAGTACTGACTTGATTATCAGGCTGCATTTGTGCAGCAGAAGATTCAGTGCATTAGCTAAGTCAGAAGCTGAGAGGATTCTTGGTATAATGAGAACAATTGTTTGACTTTTTTTTTTTTATGTAGAAAGATGGGCAATGGTAGTTCCCTATATAGTTGTATTTTGGAATTCACTCTATATTCCCTATATGTTTTAGAGTATTCGTTTTTCATATAAAGAAAGTTTAAAATGTGTTCTCACCAATTTAAAAATGTTTCAGGGTATGGGAGGACTCCATCATGATTCTCGTTAGCTTTTTTTTCTTCTTTTTCTTTTATTGGCTTTTCTCAACAAAAAGAGAGGAAACTCTGATGCTAGAAAAAGTAGTTAAAAACGAAGAAACAGTGTGCAGGGTGCCTGTTCTTCTAGATAATTCCGTAATCTGGCATACTGATAGTTAACAGACTTTTCTCCCCCTAAGGGAGATACACTGTATTTTGCTATCTGACATGTTGTCATATATAAAGAAATCAATTGGTAATTAAATGATGCACCTTGTGAAGATGACAAAAGGCATTTGGTTGCGAAAAGAGAACTGGGTTTTGAGGGGTTTGTAATGAAGGCCTAATGACTATTCATAAGAGATTTTCAGTCCGTTGATCCACTTGACTGGAAAGTTCTGCCCTGGAGAGTTAGTGCTGTCAGTTTCTCTCACCTCAGAAAGCCGCCGCGATCGACGGTGTAGAGGATGAGCGAGAAATTATCTAGCTGTTGCTCTAGGCCTGTCTTAGGTCACGTGCAGAAAGCACATCTGGCTTCCTGTAGGTGCCACCTCAGGACATAAACTTTGACTAATTTTTAAACTATAAATATGTACGAGTGACACTGAATAAGTTGCCTTTTATTCATATTTCCTTTATTTTAGAACACATGCAAGTTGTGTGGTGAGCTGCCATTTTGGCCTTCTTTCTCTTCCAGTCTTAACCATTGCACATTTGCTTGTTAGGCTGAGGGTAACTGTTTACAGGGAGTTGCCAGTGACCAAATGAAAACAGTCTCCTTATGTGAAATCCAACCACTGTACCTTTGCAGAGAACATGCCAAAGCCATCCCGCAGGAAGGTCAAATGAAACCAGTAAAGAGTATTTTATTGTATAGTGCTCTTGGTGGGTGTTTATTGCCCTGCTTGGCAAAAGGCAGTAAGATATCCAAATTTATATATGCAAGACTAGATACAAGGCTCCTACCATGTAAGGAAGAGCTCTAGAATTGCAGTACATTATTGCTCCATTGTCTTCATTAAGACAATCACAATGGCAACAATGAAAATTCATGCATTCAGGCAGGGTGAGGTGGCTCACACCTGTAATCCCAGCACTTTGGGGAGTCTAAGGCAGGAGGATCGCTTGAGGCCAGGAATTTGAGGTTGCAGTGAGTTGTGATCATGCTGCTGCACTCCAGCTTGGGTGACAGAGAGAGACCCTGTCTCTTAAAAAAAAAAAAAATCATGCATTCAAAACAGACCAGTTACTGTCCCCTAAGGGCCAGTCACAGTACTAGCTTCAGAGGATACAAAGATGAAGGAGACAAAATCTCAGTCCTCACAGTTTATTGAGAAACAGACAAACAAGAAAACAGTTATACTATAACATGGAAAGAGCTATGTTTGGGTTGTATAATAGCACAGAGTCTTAAAATCCAGGAATGGGTTTTCTAAGCACCAGTGGGATCCATAGGTGATGTAAAAATTTCTTATAGGTGTAACTTTTTCGATTGGCAAGGCCAAATCAGTTAATGGAGAGGTGCATTGTGCAAGTGAGGTGTTCCTATTGCATCGATGCTTACCTTTAGAATCCCAACAGAATGGTAGCAGCCAGCAATTTCTGTACATATTTACTCTGGGAAAGTGCTTCTCTGTGTTATCTTATCCAGCAGCTCACCTAATCAAAGGTAAACACATTAATCACCTCATTAAGGCTTGTTTTATGGCCACTTGAAAGTAGTGTTTGAGGTAGAAATATCTGTCAAAGTTCCTGTTTGGAACATAGGTGAGGGAAACATCATGGAAACTACAGAGGTTTTAACCTCTCAGTATCAAAATAATTTAAATACGTAATATGTATTTGAGATGATGTCACTGAAGATTCCTGTTGGTGTCTTGTGGTTACTGAGTTTCGCTGACGTGTTTGCTAGAGCTGTCAAGGTGGACCAAATGAATGGACAGATGCCAAAAAAACAATTATGCTTATTAATGTACATTGATTGCTTGTTTAGGTTATAAAACAAATTAAAAAATACATTAGTATTTAAGCCCTTTTATAGCTGAGCTAATGATTGCTTGTAATATAGTGTCTAGTAAAGAATATTCTATAATACCTGAAAAGCCCAGCTATGTTATCTAATTAGTAGACTTTGATTTAAGTAGCTATAATTACGGAATTGACTAGTTGCCTCCCTAAATAACGAAATGGTAGATTTAAATATATAAAGATGTTGACTTGATTATTTAATATTTGTAGCAAAGACAAACCACCTAAGTAGAGAGATTAATTCCACATCAGTGCAACATTAAAAGGGAGAGAGGATGCCAAGAATCCCATTAATTTGGGATATAAGTGCCTGAAATTTCCTCAAAACATTTACACCAAGGAATACCAACAAGACAATATCAAGCAGCTCTCCCTAAGGATAGAAAGGTAAGGCAAACATAATTTTAAACTGCACAATATCGTACAATAAAATTATGGGTGGCGTGTTCCACCAGATACTAAGCACAGTTATCCTTCTTTGAGCTACTAAGGAAGCATTTTGTATATACATCAGCTCCATTACCCCTGTCTCCGTGAAGCCTTCCCTGAGTATTCACTCCTTCCTTTATTCTACCACGAATCCATGTTTTCAATAAAGATGACGCTACTTAAATCCATGGTATGTCACCTGTACATCATTGTCATTCTATCATGTGTTTAAGTGAGGTAACCCTTGTGCCAAGAAAGCTCCAATATTTGCTTAGCTAAATGGCCAACTTGACAGGGAAAATGTTACCTCCTTTTTTTTCCTTTCTCTGGGATTTACTTTGGCTATGACTTTTGAAACACACACGTTATATTCCCCAATATCTCATTACATCGTTCACAGATTGCCTAAGAATTTCCATACTTCCTAAAGAGAACTTCAGCTTTTCTGCTCCTCGACCCATTTCCTTCAAGGTGTTTGAGTCAGAACATTCAGTGGCGTGGTGAAGAACCAGGACGACAGCCACCATGTGCTTTGGCCTTTCAACTTTCGGGGGTTACTCCTGAACATAGTACAACTGCTCTAAAGGACTTTTTCACGAAGTGTTTACTATGGCTCTTGCTACCCTATTGGGCTTTTCATTCTGAACACATAGGCAGAGAGCATTGATGTCAGTATAACAAATAATGTGTACAATTTTTAAAAACGCTAAATTCACCGAAGCCCCACATTATGTTTTCACGCTGCTCTTTCAGAAACTGTGCTAATACAATACTCCTATAAACCGATCTTGGTCCTGGCAGGCCCTATTGGAACTAATGGGGCCTGACAGTTCTTCAGTTAAAAATTATACATGAGGGTCACTTTCCCTTAAATTATCTATTGTATGCCAGCTGTTCACAACTTCAGTGCTTTACTTTCTTTGCATTGCTAGAAATGTCTAATTTTCTCATAATATCCATAGCAACTATTCTCATGGATGGCATTGACGTTAGTAAGACTTCAAGTACACCTTCATAGAAATCACACTAGAGTTGCATTTTCCATTTTCTTGAATTTTTTTTTTTTTTTGGTTTTGAAAAATGTCTAGATGGCTCATTTTTGCCTGTTTCATGCCACAGCACTTGAGTTATATCATAATTTCTCATTTGCTGCACAACTTTATGCTATTTTTATGCTCCTAAATGACACAGCTCTAAGTACCCATGAGTGGCACTTCCGTGCTGTGAGTGCTATCAAAGGCAACCTCAGACAGATAAAACTCCTGGGTTTTTTTTATTTTTTTTATTTTGTTTTGTTTTTTTTTTTTTGCTGGGGAGCAGAGAAGTGGAGTCATCACCAAGGGCCTTCTTTTGTTTATCAGGCCTATTAAGACTATATAACCATTAGAACCATTTGAAAGAAAGAAGAAATTCACCCAAGTTCCATGTCTGAATGAAGGCTCTCTTCTCAAATGTTCCTCATTACTCCAGAGCAGTTATCTTTGGATTATAATTAAAATGAGGCTTTTTTTTTTTTTTTCCTTTTAGGCTTTTATTTCCCAGAATGCCCCAAGTGAAGTATTTCCCCCAACATTCTTGGACCTTTCTACCAACAAGTGGCCGGGATTTTAATAAGCTTGTCCCCCGTTCTCTTGTCCTGTACAGGGTAATGGATGGCAAAGGGTGGATGTGGTACAAAGGTTACACATTCAGTGGTATTTTCTGCCTCATTGGTAAAAATGGGGAGGTGGGGTGGGAGGATTTCCTCTAATTATGACATAAGTGTGATGTTAGGAGTTATTTCTGTAACCTGGTGAAAATACTGCATATTGAGGGCCTAATTTTTAGCATATGTTACCATGTGTGTAATAGAACAGTGATCTGTGCTCTCTCTTTTGGCTGTGAAGGAGCACACAGATTATAACTAGTTGCTGTAGAAACCTGGTCATCCAGATGCTCCGCAAGGGTGTATTATTATTTTTTTAGACCTTGGTGGATAAGCCACAGACTGCAGCCGTTGCACAAGGTCACATATCGGGGAGGCAACGTGTCTTTCCCCTTTCCATTGTGCGATCATCCGGGGTCTGGGGGCATTAATATGCAACGGTTCTGTTTTTCTTTCAGAAGGACTTGTAAACTCTTTAAACAGAGGCACACAGTTTGCAATTGTTGGGGTACTGAGTGGGTGTATAGAAGCTAGGGCTGCAGCCTTGTCCAGTTGCAGATAGAATAAAACTGACAATGATGCAATGGGCCTGGCATGTAGACAACTCTGTGGGATGGATGAATGGCGCAGCTCTCGCCGTCCCTCCGGTGGTGGTAGGCCCTGTAATAGCTAGCGTAGGAAGGGTGGTGAAAATTGATATGCACTATTACTACATGTATAAAACTTAACACTGGGGCCATTGCACAGGTGGGGGGTTCCTGTTTATTGATTTTTATGACTTTGTTAGAACATACGCTTAATGCTTTTTATACTCCAGGAGCTCTGGGAGGGCTCACCTTAGGTAATAAACCTTTCCGTACTTTGCAATCGCTCACAATTTACATGGGGACTCGCATTTATCCAGTACAAAGCTCAGCATCCCCCTTCTCCTTGGTTTTAGGAGTGCTATAAAAAAAGCAAAGAAAATAACTATAGCACTTACTTTGAATTTTTTAAAAACCTGTCCACTCCTGCTATGAAAATGGCCCCTAATTCTAATTACTCATATTTCCAAGAAAAATTAGTCACACAAACTTATGTTATGTGTTGTCTCAGAGGTTGAAAGCAAATTAGGTTTCCAATAAGACAGTACATCAAACAAAGTAGCATGTTCTTGATGCCGATGACTTTTTTTTAGAATTATGGTTGGACATTTTTGGCAGACAGATTGTCTTTTGCTCTATCAAAATGACAGTTTCTTTTGTAACTGCAACATTCATAATTAGAAGGAGAGAAGCAATCTGCCCAATTTAATATACTAAAAGAAGTTTAGAGTCTCTGCTAGTAATTTCATTATTTTTAAATTTGAATTAATTGACTTAAAATAATACAGTTAAGAAGTATAACCAGCAGGATTATGGAGAAAGGTTTCTTTTTCCTTAAAAAGCAGCGTTCTGAGTGCTATACTTCAGATGAGGTTAAAATTTTCTCTTTACACCAGGTGCCCTGCTCTAAGATTCGGAGTAGGAATGTGAATATTCATCCTCGCAGCAGAGCTGAGAGGAGTTGTAGGGCAAACCCTGGGAACAAGGTCACTTTAAACAAAAAAGTTCTCCAAGTTTCCCATGCTTATGAGGCTGGCCGGGCTTAATTAAAGTCAATGGATGACCAAAAAAAAAAAAAAAAGAAGGGAGGAAGAAAAGAAAATGAAAGAACAACCACTCACCCCACATCAGTCCCTTTGTAGGCCTCAGTTCATACTGCATACCTTAGCTGTTGATGCCCAAGCTCTTTTCGTGTATCAAGAATAATATTTCTTAAATCACTTAACAGCATTGATGTGTCTATGGTTTAATTCACTGTTCCACGTCCCTAAACCTACATCACTTTAGGTGGCCCTCACCAGTACCACCAAGACAGAGACAGAGCCAGCTTGGCATTCGGAATGAAATCATAGCAGAGCGACCTTGTTCTGGGCGTGACCTTTGGGTTTCAGCAACTCTGTGTTGTGCAGCCCCCAGCCACGTTTAGCCTTTCCTGTTGGCTCAGAGGGTACACTTTCTTCACATTTTCTTCAGCATCTGTCCTTACGGGAGACCCAGCGTGTGGCATGGCCATGATGCACAAGGCCCAAGTTTTGGAGTGTTAATAATCTGTGAGCAGTGAAGACCTGTTTTCCTGCGTTTGAGAGAATGAAGCCTGCGCTCATTTTAAAGAATACATGCGTAGCAAGATTTCCTTTCACCCTTCCTGTATAATTTTTTGTCACGCTCAACTCTAAAGGAAACCAATTCTCTTTAGCTCTGTTACCTTATTTTATACGTTAGCTGATTTTCATCTTTACATGTACCGTCAAATGACAAAGATTAAAAAAAAGAGAAAAAAACACAGTGCTTTATCTGGGAGTTGTCGAGTGTTTTTTCCTCCCACGAGAAATTATAACACAAAGTGCCCTATACATTTTTTTGGTATGTTTATAAGAGAGTAGGAAATGTTTTAACCCTCAAAACTTTCTGATTATAAGCTGTGCTCTAAATTGACTGGGGCTATGTTCCAAGTCCCACACTCTTTTACAGGT